CTGTCTGTACGTCCGTCCGTGCGTCCGTCCGTTTGCCTGTCTGTCTCGGTCTCTCTGTGTGTGTGTGTGTGCGCGTGTGTGTCTGTGTGTGTGTGTGTGTGTGTGTGTCTGTGTGTGTGTGTGCGCGTGCGCGTGCGTGTATGAACCTCAAGGTAAACAGGACTGCCATGTATAAATGAATGCTGTGTCTTGAAGAAGTTCTAACATAACAACGAATGGGGCTGTGCTTGTAGTCTTCTGTTTGCTGGTCGAAGAACTTAATAGAAGACTTTACACGGCCAAGCTGCAAACATGAAGAGCTTAGCTGCTGGTCAGCGTACTCTCTCAGTCGTGGTGCTAAACCTCACCCCTCTCGTACCGGCGAGCGCTGGCACATGCGTGCTATCGGAATGCTACTAGGGTTCAGGGTCTTAGCCCTGAGACTTCAAGTCGTCGAACTAGCACCGTTTGCGTTTAAAGCTCTCTAACACCGTTTGCATACAAGGCTTGCTTAACTTGTGGCAGGCATCCGCAGCCTTAACGCAGATACGAAATCCAAGTTTGCAGCAGCGGATTTTAGAATGTAAATGGAGTTCTTGAGATCTAAGCTCGCAGTGCTCAGCGCCGAAAATTCGAGCCCGTTTCAAGTCTCGCGCCAGTTGCCGGACACGGTTCGGCGCTTGCATATGAATTTCGAAGTCGGTGGGGTGGCCGCCAGATGCAAAAGGTCAACCCCAAACATGTTGAGCACTACTCCAGAAGCATGGTGCTGAAAGTATAATGTTCATCTTGTGTTATCCTTTACAGCCCAGCACTCCGCTTCTTCGGCCCCTGCTGTTGATATGGTTATTGCCACACTCTTGGTCATTTTGGGCTCATGCTCTCTGCGCAAGCGCACCTAGAGGACTCATGTTAACCCAAAGGAAGCCTTCGAGATTTGAGATCTTGCCGTAGTTACCAGTAGGTCTAGGCTCCCCCCTTGTCTTCGCATAGAGGGATCCATCAGCATCTGTCGCAGACTCACACATCATGAGCCCTACCACTTGAAGATCTGGAACTCCACCCGGAACCCGAGCTCATTTCTCTTCAAACCTCATCTGCACGCATTGAAGCTGATGGAGCCCCCCCCGCCCCTTCATTGCTGTGCGTCGGTCGGCATCTTCGCTCGAAGGAGCACCTTCCAGAGCAATCTGCAGAAGATAGAACGTATTCCATCCGTTTCCATCGTGAAGTCATGTTATTCCGCTTGGGATAGATATATATATATATATGTATATATGTGTGTATGTATGTGTAGGCATCCAGACTGCCTGACCCCGTCAACTGATCACCATTTCCTACAAGGCTTGGTGAAGCAATATTGCACCAGGCTAAACTCCAATTTCACCTTCATCTATAATTTCTGCAGATTCGTCTGACGGAACCCTGCACCCAGCTCCCCAATGTCAACCTTTCTGCATGAGAAGTGAAACTCATGGCCTTTAGTGCATTCACGAATGGGTGTCGTTGTCGTGGGAATCGTTGTCGTCCTCGGCTTATTCAGCCCGGCTGGAGCTGAAAGCATGGATTTGGGACTACGTACCATGCCGGTTTGCTGGTCAAACGAAACAGTGTTCAACAAAGTGCGGCTGTTGGCACATGGTCATGGCTGTCGTTGTGGTCATGGTCATGGCTGTCGTTGTGGTCATGGTCATGGCTGTCGTTGTGGTCGTGGTCGTGGTCGTGGTCATGGTCGTGCGAATGGCCATCGTCACCGTCATGAGAATGGCCATCGTCGGTGCCGTTCCCCGTGGCAGTGTCCGTCTCTTCTTCACACCCCTGAAGATTGCCCGCCAGCACGGCTGCGAGCAAGGCAAGCAGGAATGCACGCCACGAGTTCATGTTGGGGGGCAATAGGCTGCGAACGGCAGGCAACCAGTACACACCGAGCCTGATTCAAAAGCTTGAGCCGTGTGTATGTCACAATGCCAGGTTCCAACACCCACCAGGCCATGCCGGGGGAGAGCGTTTGTAGATCCTGGGTCCTATGAGCGTGTTCCAGGGGATCTCAAAATGCCTGCAACTTCGCTCAAATCTGAAGCCACCGGCTTCGGGACCTGAGCCTCAGAAGCGGCCCCTAGACTCGACTAATGAACCCTGGCTTTCAGGTGAGGCCGTCGCTGGGTCGCTGAGTTTAGCCTGATGTATGGCAACAAGCCCTGAGATTGGTCCCCAGCCTCGTAGATGTTCCTTTCTTTCAAGTTTCTTGCGCCATAAGGTGAAGCCTCGTGTCTAAAGACGACAAAGGCCGAAACTAGCACAACCGTGAGTTCCATTCACGCATCCCAAGCCCGGGAGGCTCCTCACGCTGGAAGGACAGGGACAAGACGGCAAAGTCACCATCGCAGCTGCGAGCCTGGACCAGGCCTGTCTCAAGTCTGGCGTCTCCACGGTTCTGGTGGGCTTGCGGCAGCATCGGCTTTCATGATTTCGGAGCGGTAGGTCTGGTAAGTGTGAGCACTGCAACGGTGCGAGGGATGACAATGATCAGGCCTTACAAGAATATCACCACGATGCTGCTGATGATCAGAAAGGTGATGTTCGACATGAACACGAATATCAGCATAGAGGAACCGTGTGAAGAGGAACAGACTGTAACAGCATGATAATGGGAATGATGGTGATGGTGCTACCGAGCACGAAGATGATCATGATGGGGATGTTGGTGACGATTCTCGTGACCGAAGCGATGGCATGTGATGATGATGCTGCTATTGGTTTTTTTGTAATGCCAGGGATGACGACGACGATGATTTTGCTTCTCAACGACGACACGACGACGACCATCAAAGCAATTATAGCCCCGATTTCGTGTGACAAAAAAACGGTGAAACGCCCGGGGAGTTCTTTTGTCAGATCCGAGGAGCGGCGCAGCTCGGGAGCATCTCGGAAGAGCCAGTGCCCTCCTTCAGGGGTCTGCTGCCACCTGCCGCGCCGGCGACAGTTGCACAGTTTCTGTAACGATGGACCGTAGAAGCTATAGGAAGACTCAGAAGGCAATCACCAAGCGCACTGAGTGCATGATAGCAGCCATGGTGGAGGCAAGTATCAGCATGAGGAGGAGTTACTCGCTTTCTGCCAACGTTTCGGATTGGGTCCCACTCACACTAAGGATGACAGGTAGCTGTTCCATCGCTCTCGGTGCAACGCCTTCCCGTAATACTACCTAGCCTAAGTAGTGACTCTGGCTCGTCTTGGCTAAGCTTTAAACGACAGTTAACGTAATGAACATGAGCACACCATGCTGATGAGAGCGACGGCACTACGAAGATATTTCACAAAGCACGCAGAAATCTCTGCGATAGAGATCACCAACGACTATAGGCAACACGAGACAGCATCAACATCACAGCCTGAGCCTTTCAGAGGCACAAGGCGTCGCTTGGCCAGGGACTTTTGGATTAGGGTTGTCAGATTTGAGAACGTGGGGCACAGAATTCAGAATACTGAACAATATCAGTGAATCAAGTATGGTATCAGGCATGGCGTCAAGACTACGACTTGATCTGGATTTAGGATTGGCCTTTGGGGCTTGCTTGACAATAAACCTTCCGATCTGTAGCCTGGAAACAGCAGTCGTTGTTTGAGGCTTGCAGCACACTCGACTCCAAACCGAACGACCGCAATCGCAAGGCCTGGCAGAAGTGCTTGGATCGAGGACAGAAGGCTTTGGTGTATGTTATGCCCAAACACATGAGCGAGTCAAAGGAAGACTCTGGGCACCTCGGCCTTGAATCCACAGCCAGGAATGGGGAGGTCTCACTTCTAACCGTTTAACAATTATCCATTTCGGTTTGCACTACCAACAGCTTCGAGAAGATCCTAACGAACAACGACCGGAACCCAGAAAATATCATATCATATAACATAACAGAATATTAAGATAAGAGAAGATAAGATTGCTTTGTTTAATACTATATGCCATTATATTATAAGAATGCATTCCCGGAGCTCGGAGCAGGCCTCAGGTTGAGGCTGGATGTGGCACTGGCCAAGCATGGAAAGAACTGCGAGGGCAGCTTCTTCAACCTTTCCAGAGCTCTTCGGGGCCCCAGGGTTTGCACATAAGGGCTTATATATGGACTGCGGCTGTAGGGCTCGGTCTTGGGCTTTGTTTTTAGGGTTTCGGGTTCAAGGTTGGGTGGTTTTTAGGGGTTCTGGGATGCTGGAAGTTACACTCCAAGGCTCTCTCGGGCTTCAGCAGCACTGTGGCTCGAAACGAAGTTGAATTGAGGCTTTTGGGCTTCAGTGGCCTGCGAGTTCTGGCTGCGGCTGTTGCTTGCGGAAATGGAGGAGTCACGGATCATCTTGGCAAGAGGACAGACTCAACGCAAAGCGTCACCGCAAGCATCATCAAGCTGAATCGCTTGATTTTTCGAACGTCGAGAGAGCTCGAGCCAGACTGAAATCCGACACCAAGACCCTCCTCAAACCCGAAGCCCGAAACCCCATGAACCCTTAAACCCCTAAGCCCTGTGTACTCTCTGGGACGGCCACAGTATACCCAGGCGATGGTCGAGCGTTGCCTTTGGCCCATGCTTGGAGCCTTTGGGTCCTTTAAGGGGCTCTGGGCCTTTGCTGGAGGCTTTCCCGCTTTTGGTGGGGGTTTTTGGGGATTGAGGGATGAGGGGATTTGCGGTTTCGACTCAAAGGGGAGTCGATCGGGGTTTGGGCTGGGCGTTGCAACGACCTGTCGCGCAGCGAGTGGGGACATCTTCAAAGCTTCGGCGAAAAGGGCGAAAGAGGGTAGTCCTGTCCGTACACAACCTCGAACATCAAGAACGCCGAAGCGTGCGTAAGTACTGTTTGGGGAGGTGCGTTCGATCATTACAAAGGCTCATCACCCTGAATGTCTACTCGGAACTGCTCGTAACTTGGGGTTGCAGCTTTCGAGTGCCAGGTAGGGTGTAGAGTGTTGAGGGATCGGGATGGGAAAGGGCCCAGGATGTAGAAAATCCCCCCTTCTAGCTTGAGAGAAGCTGCCAGGTCTTCCGGTCGGAAGGCGACTTGCCTGCATCTGTGGCTCTTCAAGGATCGGACCCTGGGGCCCTGTTCGGCCGGGTTGAAAGCTTTCGGGGTTTGGGCTAGGGGTGCAAGCCCCATACAAGGTATCCGAGGCCGACCATCACAAGCCATGCCACTGCAGCATCGTCTTGCTCCATGGGCCAGACGTCGCGCAGTGTCCCTGCGCAGCACGCAGGACACAGACTTGGGGCAGGTCGCTGGCTCTGCAAAGTAGGTCATATTTATTTTACTTTGACTCCACCTAAACGTGGAATTACTCACACCATTCGCACAGCAGGCTGGCGGCTAGCCGGCCTCCAGTTGGGCTTCGATGATCTGCATGATGCTCGGTGAGGTTTGAAGGACGTGGTGCCTTGTTATGAGCTGATGCAGGATCTGAAGGCCGAGCCGATTGCCAAGAGATTACGCCATTAAGCAGCTCGGCTGCACACGCAAAGCTTTGCCAACCGAAGCCAGGTTGCTGGAAAAAGTGATTCAATAAACATGCGGTGATGGTCAAATTGCGTGCAGTGGAGGAGTCCACATCCAACGCTGCAGAGGAAGGTACCTGAGTCTCTCACTGTAAAATTTAGACAGGGGGATCTCTGCTTGCCTGCGGCCGGGGCCTGGGGCTTCGCGACCTAAGCCTGGGGCCCGAGTGTTGTCCTGGCGGCCTTGCGCCCAGCTTCTGAGTCTCTTGGGCAGGCGGCCTCTGGGCGTTGCTCTTGCACAAACTTTGCCATGAGGGAAGCATCCTGACAGAGACAGAGATCTTCTAGATTCTAGCTGAAAGGCCGCCTGAGTGGCCCGTGGCTTTCGGTGTGTTTGGGGGTTGCGGCCTTCAAGAACCGGAGACTTCGCGGTTTCGGGCCGAGTGCGTGAAGGATCTTGCGAGACGGCCTTGGTTCGGACATCTGGCGGGTTTCTGAACACGTGCTTGCAGCCACCGGTGCGTCTGCGAGAAGTCTTAGTGGTGCTTCGAGCGCTGCAAGGTGCGAGGTGAGCTCCAAAGTTTGCACCCCGGTTCCCCCACGCCCACCTGAAAAGGACTGCAGAAAGCCTCGAGATCAAGAGCCTGGGCGGTCCCTTCTGAGCCCTGGGTCCTTGTAGATGTCATCCAACGAGCTGGCCCAGGAAACAACGGCGTTGACATCCAACATCGGGACAGCAGGCCTAAGGCTCGCACGGTTGAGTGTTCGGGACATGGTCAAGCCTAGAGCTCTGAATACTTTGGCAGCGCGGCCTGCCCTCCCGCGTGCATGCATCCATGCTCGCTTGGCGTCTTCATGCAGACCATGCCATAATTTGCGAATCTCGGTAGATTTGCTTCCTGGGTTGTTTAGTCGACGGGTGTACGCGTATGAGTAGCTGGTGGTGAGGCTTCAGACTGACTAGGGCTCTCCTCAGGGAATGCAGTGCAAAGCTCTGAACGATTCTGACAGAATAACCGCATCCACGGGACAAGACGGGCGGCATGTAAAGCCTCGGCGAAGTGCGCAACTCTGACGAGATTACAACGTTTGGGCTATCATTGCAGTGCAAGCTGAGCCAAAATCACCATGAACCCCAATTGCCACCATCACGACTATCACCGAGACGATGACGATGAAGACGGCGACGAAGACGACAACAACAACTGCTACTGTTGCCACTGCTGTTGCGGCTGCTACCGCTACTACCGTCGTCTTCATTGATATCCTGCTCGTTTCAACAGCAAAATGCAGGGCTGGCCAAAGGGCCAACTGTCCAATTCTACGTGCCGAGGCGGCTGACACAACTCCACTTCCAAAAGTAATGTCTCAAACAGTGTGGGAACACGCTCGGGTTCCTGTGTTCCTACGTTCAGTGGAAATGGATTAGATTGCTATCCGACAGGCGCATCCGGTGGCATGCCAAGTAACCACGCTGTGGGGGCATGCTTTAGCCAACAAGCCAGATCAAAGGCGAACCATTGACTCCTTTCAGCCTTTCAGGCTTTTGAGCAGACTGGGTAGACTACAGGAATCTTTGTGTTGAGGTCGAACATCCACAACCGGCGTTGTATAGTTGCAGCTGTGGCGGCAACCTCTGCTTTGTGATTAGGGTTGGTCTGCAATCAAGCATGTAGACTAGCATATTAAGGCCAAACACTCCCTCACACAGTCCGTGGTGAGACAGCTTCGACTGCGAGACTGTGAGGAGAAGCTGCCCCTCTGCATGGCTACAGAGTTCTCTGTTAAGAGACCCCATGGCTAAAGTAAAGAGGAGACGAGGCGCTTCGAGTCTTGGAGCGGTGCCAGCAAGGCGCTCACGGAGGCAAAGAAGGACTCCTCGTCTGCTGTTGGGGAATAGCTAAGCGCTGGTACAGCGTGCCGCATCGTGGCCCTTGAAGGGTTCCTTCAACTTCTTCAGTCCGAAAGAGCTGGGAATCCCAAAGGCCCCCCAGGTTCCTTCACCCACCCGTTCCCAGGGCCAAGCCTCCGCGGCTGGCGTGGGCTGGCTCGGGACGAACTCGCTTGCGTGGGCATTCAAGGGCTTCAACAGCACCTCCAAACAGCTCAAATCAGGGCTTTTGGGGGCAGCGACAACTCCCAGCCACCCAGCTGCGATTGCCGATGGGAGAAGCCTGTGTGGCTTTGTCAAAACACACACTCTTGGGTAAGAACAAAGACTATTGCCATGGCTCAGCAGTGAAAGCACTTCGCGGTTTACCGAGCGACGGCTGCAGAGCTCGAATGACGAATGGAGGGAAGGCCATCATGGTTGGCAAACGCACATTCCAGTAAGTGAGGAACCCCGATACAGACCCCAAATCTTACGATCCTCAATTGATCCCCTCAAGTTCAAAAGACCCCGAACGAGCTGAAAGGCTGCACCTTGCCACAGGGATGCAAAGTCTCCGCCATCTTCGGTGGTCTCGCGCACTTCTCCGGGGTATTGTATTCCGTCGCCGTGGCCTTGAGACTGCCGTGATTTCGCGAGGAATCCGTCAAGGGTAGCTGCACCGACAAGCCTTCTCAGTTTGAATCTGGAGATACTAGCAGATGATTAGGCTGTTGAGGCTGCTCCGCTGATGTCGTCAGGCCTTGGTTGCTTTGCTTGCTTTACCTGCTTGGCTTGCGCCACCATGACCTGCCGAAGACACAACAAGTGCCGAACGAATGCCTGAGCTACGTAAGGACAATGCAGAATGCTTAAGGCTATTGCAGCTCCTTCTCCTACGCTGACAAGCCCCCGGATAAAGATTCTATATACGAGAACTTCTCCTTCGACTTTCTTCCCGATCCCGAAAGACCTTAAACCAGCAGACTCCTCGCCCCATCCGATGAACCCTTGGTCGGACGGTCCTCGAGCGGCTTCTTTTTGCAGGCTCTTGGAGTGTGCACCTGCAATGGAAAGGTTCCAACGCCCTTTGGGGATTTCGAGTATGCTGCGTACTAGGCACTTCCTACCAGCTGCGGCCCTTGACCGCAACAGCAACAACAACTCCTGCTCCTGCGACACTGCTACTGCTACGACGACTGAGGTATTGTTTGCAGAAGAAGATGATGATGATGCTTTTGTTTTTTGGTGTTGCTCGGCAGGAAGCTGGGCGCCCGCCCAGCTTCCTGACCTGAGCTTGCTTCGTTCTGTCTTCTCTGGCATGAGACTTTACGGGGCAAGCAGTCGGACAGCATGGATGCGTGCTGCCTGCAAATGACCATGTGCCCGAGTGACATGTGATCCCACTCTCCGGGCTCTCCAGCACACGAACCAACCCCCGAATATTAATCTCGCCCCAGCTACTAGAAATTATCAGAACGTTGCGGAACAGGAGCCCATGGCTTAACAGGCAAAGCTTCGCCCTGCTCGCTCGTCACCCCGTGATAGTGTAATTCTTGCTTAACTTCGTTGCCTCTTCTACGTCATTGTGCTCCGCCGCCGCAAGCGCCTTGATTCAAGGCGTTGGGGCATTTGAAGGCCCTTGAAAGGGTCAGGATAAAGGCTTCAAACTTCCGCTGGGTGATGCGATGGTCTGCGCTTGAGGCTCCCTGTTTGGAGGTGACGTCCACTGCATGCTTCTTCTGCCTCCGAAAGGAACATCGACTATCCCTCAATGCCTCAATGGCACCGCTGCTACGAGTGCCTGGGAAGGCTTGCAGCACACGCAACTCGGACAACGCGGGCCTTGCGGAGAACCTGACCAGCACGATGCGGCACCTCTTCCGGGACGGACGGTGGGTCCTGGCTGCGACCCGGCACGGTTCCGGCCTCTGGGTGATTGGAGCTTGGGTTGCACATGAAACGATGACCTTTTCGCTTCTTAGGTGCTTTTTTCGTATGAGCAAACCCACCACGTGGCTGGAATTCTGCGATGCCCAGGGGCCTTCCACGTGTTCAGGGAAAGAAAGGAGCAGGCTCCCCCCCCTCTTGAGGTTCATCAATCTCAATCCCCGAACAGCGTGCTTGAAACCGAACATCGGGAGGTCGTTCCTCCTCAGGTCCAGCAGTCTTCGCATGCAGGGCCGTCCTCAAAGCGCCATTTCAGATTTAGGACTTCTGAGATTTTTGCGTCCGGATTTCGCAGAGATCCGAGTCGATTCAAGCCCGCCTTGACCCCCAATATGCCCATCTAAAGCAGTTCAATGAGCAACTCGGCAAAAACATCTCGAAAATGATGAGATCCAAAACGCTCCACCCCGATTCGGTGCGAGTGTGTTTCTTGATGACTTGACTGGGTCAGAAGTGCAAGCAGTTCCTGCACCCTTCCGCATCCGCACGCGCAAAGCCGACTCGGGAAAAGCATGCCCTAATTCACAGCCCTGCCGGTCGTACTTTGGCCTTGGGCTGTTGCTTCTGAAAACGTTGCAGTGGCTCCAGGCTGCAAATTGGGAGTGCATCCCGATGTGCTCAGCTGAGGCCTGGACTGCGGGCGCTGCAGAGTCGATGTCATGAGGCGAGCTTTCGGCAGCTGCCCTGCCTCCGGCGAAGTCGCGCTAGGAAGGTCTGTATAGGTCTTGAGGACTGCTTACGGGTGAGGGGGTTCAGGGGTTAGCTGGAGTAGGGTTTAGCGTTTTAAGAGCTCTTTGCCCGTCAATCAGTCTTCTAGGTGCGAGTCCGAGCCACTCGACCGTCCTGCATAGCGTGATCAAGGCATTCGTGCCATTCATTCCCATGCTCATCTCAACAAGGCTGTTCCGGGGAAGCCGAGCTCTGTCCCACCGCGGAAGAGCCGCACCTGCCTTTGAGGCATCGCTTCTTACATGCATTTATATGCTGACCTGGGCTCCTCCTCCCCTTTTGCAACCAATGTTGATGCCTCGAGGACACCGCCCACCACCCCGGCACGGGCTGCAAGGAGCTGGTCGCGGCGAAGCACCTGAGAGGAGGTCGAGGGCCACGTGCGAAGCCACAGAGTTGGCCAGGGTTTCTACAGGGCCCATCGTGGCTCTGCAGAGTTTGCAACCAGCCCGGCAATTTCTCAGGGTTGCCTACCCCGAACGAACACTGCGGGTTTCTGGCGAGTGTTCTGGGCTAGCATCATGACAAGTGCGATGGCCAGATCGATGTCACATTGAAAGAAAGCCTTGTGGCACTACACGCTGCTGCTGCTAGCAGGGCTCATCTGAGAAGATCAGCAGCTATTCGAGCGCAGGGCGCCGACTTGGGTTTAGCGGGTAGAGTATGGTGGGACTTCAGTACTTGAGAATTGGACTCAGTTTGTTCTTCCAAGGGTTCTGCATATTGTGCAGGAGGGGTTTCACTAAGTCACTATGGGAGCCCGGTGCAAAACAAATTGACAATTTTCCGCTTGTGCCTTCCGCCTCGTTGAACTACTTTAGTCTTCAGGACCTGCGACTAGTTCCTGCTGCCAAGGCACAGCCATGTCAGAAGAAATTCGTAGAGGACGCTTCGGAGCTGCAGGTAGCTGCTTGACAAGATGTCAAGAAAACCAGCAAGAAAGGGAAACAAAGAACTGGCAATTGACAAACAGTTACTCCTATGTGTCCTAGTCACAGGAGCGCAAGGCCACAACTTTGCGCAAGAGATCAGCTTACCCAGCTCTCAAACTCGGCTCGTGAGCCCAAGCTGCACAGAGGATTCGTGAGACCAGCACGCAACTTCTCGAAGGCTCACAAGCCTACACATGAAGCAATGTTGGGACCCCGGCTTCTCGAAGCTGGCTTTGATGACACGGCAGGCACCACTGTGGCTCTCCAACTCTCCCTACCATTCCATTCGAAGCCCAGAAAAGACACATTTTGCCGAAGCGAGTGGCCACGGGTCTTGCGGCATCCGGGAACCTGGACTTCGAAGCGTTCCTTCAGATCCTCGGGGTTTAGGGTTTAGGGTCTGCGACTAGGAGGACAAAATGTGTGGGCAGTAAGTTGTTGTTTGATCTGCTTGTAGCGGCATGCTTCCTTATGCTCACCGTTGCTTCGGCGACCATCGACCATCGTGTTTGTAAACATCATTGCTGGAAAGGTCATTCAACCGCAGCACCAACACGATAATCATGCGAGTCATCGTGCACAGCAAAAAGCTCTTCGCACGCGCTACGAACAGTTCTTACCAGTGATCGTCGTGTCGCGACTATCGTTCATGTTGATGTTTTCTAGATCCTTACCTTGCCACTCTGCAAGTCAGGGCAAGTCGCAAAAGTTCCAGGGTCGCGTCGGCCAAATCTTACAAATACGCAGGGTGGTCCAGAGCGCAAGAGGACTCTTGAACTCATGCCGCCTGTGCTCCAGGCAGCACACCCTTCCGATTGCAAAACAAACATAGCTCCTTGATGGACCCACCCTGCACATGGTGTTCGGTAAGGGGTGAGAACTGGATTTGGAAAATGTGGACGGCAGAGCTGCAGCCGGTGCATCGGCGCACAGAGGGGCTCCAGATAAAGCCCTCGAGCCTAAGCCTGCAAATGAGAGCTTGAAACAATTCTTAACCAGGGTCTTATGATTTACGAACATTTTTTTCGCAGAGATGGTAGACCCTCCAACTCGAACCGAAGCTTGGACCCTCCCCTTCGCCCACTGTACCCTCAACAGCGCACGCTGCATCCCAAAGCGGCTAAAACCCAGACCGGACCGGAGAAATGGACCTTGTGAATGTCGGCAACTTTGTTCTCAACCCCAGACTCTTTCCCGCGAGTATCACTGCACGTGTTAGTAGGTCATTATGATGATGACGACGACGATGACGATGACGATGACGATGATGATGATGATGATGGTGATGGCGATCATGGCTGCATTGTGCACCGGCGATTGTGAGCCACCTTTTCCTGAGGCTTATGGCCCTTCGACGGCAACCTGAA